GCCCCTGACCCCCCTCCTCCTGCCCAGTTATCCCACTCCTTTCTTTCCTGTAACCCAGGCAGTTTGTTTGCGCAACTCCTTGCAACACCTCGGAGGCCTGCTCTCCCTCTTTCTGTTGTTACCAACAGGCCCTCAAAGAGGAATAGGGCCAACTTGAAACCTGGAGGATGTGGGGTAACTAGGAGGGAGGGGCCCCTGGAAGCTCTGACAGGTTTGGACATCCTGCCATGAGTCAACCCTGGCTTCACCGGTCCTGGCTTCCAGGCCCTCGGTGCCCCTGGCTCTTGGTTTGCTGCCCTTCCCTTGGCCTCCCTGCGTGTCCCCCACGCCCTGACCCTTAACTTGTGTCCTTCCCTGTAGGTGGGAGATGCCATCCCATCGGTGGAGGTATTTGAGGGGCAGCCCGGGAACAAGGTGAACCTGGCGGAGCTGTTCAAGGGCAAGAAGGGGGTGCTGTTTGGAGTCCCTGGAGCCTTTACCCCTGGTTGTTCCAAGGTGAGGCCCTGCCCTTCTGGGGCTCAGCAGTTGGGAACGTGTGCGCACGTTTGCATCGTTCATAGCCCTCCGTGTTGTCCCGAGGCAGCTTGCAGCAGTGGCGTGCAGGTGATATGACTGTCAACATCTCAGAGCGTTCAGAAAACAAACAGAGGCTGTGAGAGGTAGTGGTCCCAGGAATGCAGGAGAAAGGGCATGACAGTGAAACCCAGCCCGTCTTGTTGATCCTGCTGGATGACGGGCACCACGGAAGGTATTTGGGTAAAGAAGACATCATTATGCCTGCAGGAAGTTCGCGGTCTTGACCACAGAAATCTTAAGTGTGGATCCCAGCTCCCCAGTGGCCCAGGCTGAAAGGAGCCGTGGCTCACACGGTGCTCATTGTCTGATGGGAGGTGTTGGAGCAGGGCAGTGAGGAAGCCCGGAGACGAAGGATGGACCAAGGAGTGGAGGCAGCTGTGCCTTTGCTGAGACTTTGTTTCCCTCCCCAGACTCACCTGCCGGGCTTTGTGGAGCAGGCTGGGGCTCTGAAGGCCAAGGGCGCCCAGGTGGTGGCCTGTCTGAGTGTTAACGATGTCTTCGTGACTGAAGAGTGGGGACGAGCCCACAACGCGGAGGGCAAGGTGAGGTGTGGGTCCTGCAGGCGGCCAGGGGCCGGGCAGGAGATTTTCCTGTGACCTTTACTTTCTCTTTAGATTCGGCTTCTGGCAGACCCCACGGGGGCCTTTGGGAAGGTGAGTGCAACCCCCACCCCACCCCTGCAGCTGGACTGGGGTCCCTCTGCCAGGCCTTGGAAGCAGGGATTTAGAGGGTCCTGACCAATGTGGGGAGCAGCTGGGGAGCTTGGCTGTTCTTGGGGTTCCTGACCCTTGTTTCTGTCTCTCTTCTTAGGAGACAGATTTGTTACTGGATGATTCGTTGGTGTCCCTCTTTGGGAATCGCCGGCTCAAGAGGTAAAAGTGGGAGGTTCCCCTGTGGGGTTCCCCTGCCACCCTCCCTCTCTATTCCCAGCCTCCAGGCTCGGCCGTGGTAACGGGCCCTGCCCTCTTTCCGGCAGGTTCTCCATGGTGATAGAGGATGGTGTAGTGAAGTCCCTCAATGTGGAGCCAGATGGCACAGGCCTCACCTGCAGCCTGGCCCCCAACATCCTCTCGCAGCTCTGAGGCCCTGGGCCCAGATGTCCTCCCTCGACCTTTTCCTCTTACACCTGCCCAGCCAGGGGCAGAGGCCGTCCGGCTTCAGCTGGGCCACCAAGTTGAAGGCTTGGCCAGATTTCTGCAATAAACACTTCTGGTTCACGTCTGTCTCCTGGATTTTGAGTTGCTGATTTGCTGTGGCCCAGGCCTCATGACAGTCATAGCTGTGAGGGTGGTGGGCAGGGACTGAAGGGGGACTAATAGAGGGGACCTTGACTTACTTTAGGAGGTAGTGAGGGAAGGCCTCTTGAAGGAGGAGTTATGAAGCAACAGTCTGCGAGCAGAGGAAGGGCCAGTGTTCTGAAGAGCAAGGGAAGGAGCGGACTGCAGAGGGGGCATATCTGGAAAGGGCTACCAGCGGTTCTCAACCTGTGGGTCGCAACCCTTTCACGGGGGTCGCCTAAGACCATCAAACACATATATAATTACATATTGTTTTCGTGATTAATCACTATGCTTTAATTATGTTCAATTTGTAACAATGAAATTGGGGGTCACCACAACATGAGGAACTGTATTAAAGGGTCGAGGCATTAGGAAGGTTGAGAACCACTGGTAGGCAGACGAGCACTTGGCTTATACTCAGACTTCTGTGCTTGATCTCTGGGTGCTGGTTGATCTCATTTAGACCATAAACTCTAGGCTAGGAACTTTGGCTCTAGGCACCCCCCAACCTGGGTCATGCCCCAGCCCCACCATTTTTTCAGACTGTTGAACCCTTCCCAGGAGCACCCACATCCCAGGAAGGCACCTTGGGACCATCTGACTAGCAGAAGGCTTCATCAGTAGAGGCAGTGCTGGTTCAGTCCAGGGGGGCTTCCTGGAAGAGGAGACTAGGTGAGCTGGGAAGGGGAGAAGATGGTGGTAAGGCCTGACCAGTGGTGGGTGTACTGTGAGCGGCTGGGGATCAGGGAGGCCAGCGGGATATGGGGCTGGGCTGTTGCCTTCTGCAGGCCCTGCTCCTGGGCCTTTGCCTTTTGTCCCCGGGAAGCCATGTGCTTAGCAGCAAGCAGGATTATTAGGCCCCTGCTGTGTTGGGAGCTCACAGCCTAAGGCGGGGTGGGGGGCGGGGTGTAGGGTCCGGGGCAGTTCAGGTGTAGTAAAAATCCTCAACATAATTCTGTGGGATATGTTGACGGAGCATAGATGAAATCAGGAGGTTTTAACTAGAAATAAATGATGAAGATTTATTCAAAGGTCTTAGGGTTTGCAAACCAGAAACACAACTAGGCAATACCCAGAGTTCCAAGGAAATAAAAGTTCAGGTTTCTTCGAGTTAGAAGCACATTCTTGAGAAGAACAGGTCCTGCATGCTTGCCTCTGGGTTGGTCTGAGATGGTGATCTAGTCCTAGATGACTGGGGGCTGGATACAGGCACCTCTTCCTTGTCCCTCAGGGGGAAGGAGGGCTCTCTGGAGGGTTGATGTATGGGCGTGCCTCGAACACCGGTTGGTTCCCAACCACCCTAATAAAGCGAGGCCTAATCTTTTTGCTGGTAGAGGGTCTTATCTTCAATTTGTAAAAAATGCACCCTCTGTGAAGGGAAATAAAGTGAGGTGTGCCTGTGTGTCCAGCTTTACTCCCCTCGTGCTGCCCTGCCCGGTCCAGCCAGCTCCAGCTCGGAGCATCCTCCCTGCCCCCAGGGCTGGCCAGGCGGGCGGCACTCACTGGGAGGTCAGGGAGAAGGGCAAGGAAAGGCCTTTGGAGGACACAGTCCTTGAGGCAGTGGGGTCGGTGCTCCGGGAGAGGGATCAGGTGGCTCTAGGGATGCAGGTGGGGTGGCCCCAAGTTGCTGCCCCACACAACGCACACAGCTGAGGGAGAGGATGCTGGGAGCCGGGCCAGTGAAGGATGTGGGCAGGGCAGCGTCGGATCAGGCTGGTCCCTGGCCTGTGTGGAGGCAGAGCTGGATGGGAGGTGGGAGAGGTGCCAGGTGAGCAGTGCAGGAAAGAACGTAGCGGATGGTGTCCCGCAGGTGGGGGCTGACACGTGGCCACCTGTTGGGTGTTGGGGGGAAGGGAGCTTCTGGGGCCTAAGTGGCTGGGAGGTTGGGGTGGTATTCACGTGGATAGAGCAACCGGTTGGTTCCCAACCACCCTAATAAAGCGAGGCCTAATCTTTTTGCTGGTAGAG